AAAAAAAAAAAAAAAAAAAAAAAAAAAAAAAAAAAAAAAAAAAAAAAAAAAAAAAAAAAAAAAAAAAAAAAGTACCATTGTTGGAGTAGAAAGTGTCCAAAAGATAGTGCGGAGAGGCAGTGGAGGGTGGCTCATAAGGAAGAAACGGAGAGTCAGTAGAGCGAAGCATTTCAATGGGGGAAAGAGAGAAGGAAAGCCAGTTGGTGGGCGGCGGCGGCGCCATTTTTGTTTGCTAAAAGCTCTGTAAATGGTTGTTGTGAGGAGCAGAGGAGGAGCAGAGGAGGGGGTTATAAAGCAGAGGAAAAGAAGGGAAGGGTTTAAAATGGGTTAGGAGAGGAAGGGGCGTTACTGAAATAGAAAGGATCCCATATCAGGAAGAAGCGAGTACGAGAATCACGAAGCAGGGGAAAGGCAGGGGAGGAAAATGCATGCAGAGAAAAGGAGGAACATTTGGAAGAGATGGAGGAGGAGGTGGAGGGTTATAATGGGAGAGGGAAGCGGTTCGAGTTGGCAGACTGATTAAAATATTTATGGAATTAAATAACTAATGTTAACAACACAGAAGAGTGACTTTTTGCTCTGTGATGAACAAATTTTGTCTGAAGGAAGGTTGCGAAACATCCGGGCTACTGCAAAAAAATGTAGGAGAAAATTTAAATTTTTTTAAAAAATTCAATGATAAAATGATTTTTACTCGAAATTTATTAAAATATTAGACAAAATTTAGGATCCGGCGTAGTACGGAGGTGACATAAAATTAAAATTCGACGGTAAATAATATTCGAAAAATTTATCTAGGTTAAACTTCAAAAGAATCAACCCGAGTTCTCGTGTAATTATAAGAAATGTATTTTAGTTTTATTTATAATATATTTTTTTCATATTGCTATTAAAATTATTTTTTAATTACGAACCGAGTTGGATTGGATTAAGTTGTTGAAATTGAGTTGAGTTTAAAAAATGTCTCAATCCAACTAATTCAACTTGACCCGACCGACAACCACCTTAAACACGGCTAATAGTCTTGATATACTTATAAAAGGTAATAGGTAATAACGGTAACTTTAGAAATAAAAAAAAAGACAAATTTTAGAGTTTTTTTTTTTTTTTTTTTTGTAATTTAGCTTTTTTGGGTTAGGCGAACTCATTTTGTCGTTTTCTTCTTTTTTATTTATTTTTAAATTAAATTATGAGTTTAAGGTTGACGAGAGCATACGATCGATTGACGTTTATCGATTTTGACTTCATTGGTATAAATGAAATTAATGAATTTATTTTTGGTAAGTTTGTTTTTAAACTATAGTTTTATATATTTGGATCATCGTTGTTGCTGCTACTACGTTAAAAATAATAAATATTTTATTTAATGAATTTTATTTACATTATTGCCAAATTGTTTATATTTATTTTGTAAAAAATTTTAAAATAAGTTTGTTAATTCAACATGATAAATACAAAAAAATACAAATTCAAATTATTATTAAATAAAAAAACAGTTTTCAGAAAATAAAGACCCGAAATTAAGGAATAAACTGAAATAATTTTGAAAAGTAAAAAAATAGTGAGATATTTTCCTTTTTTGGTAGGAGTAAAATTAAATTAAATGAAAGGATATACTTAACTGACCAATGAATTAGAGTGATAATTTCACCCACTTGTCATGCATGCACGTCACCTACTTATGACTTAATTACTTCTCGTGAGCCCGTGTGACTTCTGAGGACCTTTTTTTTTATTTTTTTTTATTTTATTTTTATAAGTAAATAAACCAATAGAAGAATAAGCAAATAAATAAATAAATAAAATAAAAGAGGAATCTGACGTAATAATTAAAAAATATTTGAATTATGTTAAATGGAATTAAATGCACCTAATTATAACAATAAATAAATAATATATTATTAGATTAAAAATTAATCAATAACTAATCAAGTGATTTTCATTAGTTAAAGAAGGATTATTGTTTCTACTCACGACTCATATATAGAGATGTCGGTGTTAGATGAAATTGTCCCACATTGGTTAATTTAGGAAATGATTATAAGTTTATAATCTAAGAATACACTCTCCATTGGTGTGAGGCTTTTTGGGAAATCAAAACCAAAGACATGAGAGCTTATGTTCAAAGTGGACAATATTATACCTTTGGTTTCATATTTATATTTTATTTATTTATTATTTTAAATAATTTTATTTTATTGTACGAAGAAGCTGGTTTGAAAAATCGAATATTAGGAGGCAGATATTGCAGAAACCACAAGCTTTCAATTTAATATTGCATGTGCTCATTAAATATATACATATATATTTTAATTATAATATAAAAAAATAATTCTCACATTTTTCATCCATCAATTTTAACATTTTTTCCACACCTCTTTAATTTCATCCTTAAATTTCTATATATATAATTTATTGGAAATTCTAAAATTTTGATAAAATTATTATTGTTCGATGATGAAAGTCTCACATCGGTTAATTTAGGGAATGATCATAGGTTTATAAGTGAGGAATACTAACTTCATTGGTGTGAGGCCTTTTGGGGAACCCCAAAGCAAATCCATGAGAGCTTACACTCAAAGTGGATAATATCATACCATTGTGGAGAGTCATGTTCGTCTAACATAGTATCAGAGTCATGCCCTAAACTTAGTTGTGCCAATAGATTGGCAAATCCTCGAATGTCGAACAAATGACTCCAAAAAGAAAAAAAGAGTCGAGCCTTCTCGAAGGTACGAAGGTACGAAGGAAATCAAGAATGACTAAGACTCCAAAGGAGTCAAGCCTCGATTAAGGGGAGGCATGCTTTGTTCGAGGGGAGGTGTTGAATGATGAAAGTCCCACATCGGCTAATTTAGGGAATGATCATAGGTTTATAAGTGAGGAATACTAACTCCATTAGTGTGAGACCTTTTGGGGATTGGCTAGTAAAGCTGGAATAATCATGAGTTTATAAGTGAAGAATACTAACTCCATTGGTGTGAGGTCTTTTGGGGATTAGCTAGCAAAGCTGTAGACAATATCATACCATTGTGGAGAGTCGTGTTCGTCTAACAATTATTTTACTTTTGAATTATTAAATTATTACAAAATTTAAACAATAAGAAGGAAATCATGAGTAAATTATAATGAATTTTTAAATAAAAAAAAAAACAAAATCATTATTTCAATGATAATCCGAAGAAAAAAGTTGGAGACCAGAGAGCGAAAAAGACGGAAACACAATGAAAACAACGTTTTCTCCCCCCACCCCCCATTTTATGGCAAGTAATTCGGCACTCCAAAAATTATTCTTATTATTTTTTATATTTATCTATAATAATAATAATAATAATAATAATAATAATAATAATAATAATAAAGTGGCGCTGTTTTAAACGGTGCGTTTTTGTGTTCCACCCTCCACCTCCACTACTCCCCGCAAATCCTCCCCTTTTTAAACCAATATGTACCCCCTTAATTCTTACCCTTTTATATTACATTCTAAATTATCCTATAAACATTCAAATTTTTGTTTCCTTTTATATATATATATATATATATATATATAAATATGTGATCCCGACCCCGACCCCGACCCCGACCCCATTTGATCTTTCTGTGTCATCGAAAGAAAAATTAGTTACTTTTAGTTTGTAGTGTAGGTTATTATTATTATTATTTTTTAATCAATAATCCATTCAGTGATAATTAATTTTAATTTTATTGGTTCGTACTATTCCAAAGTTTAATATTATTATGTGCCCAAATTACGAGTCTAAAGCTTTAATTTTGATGTGGATTTTGTTTTAGATTTTGACAAAAGTTTTTAAAAAATGGTTAATATTTTCTTACATTTTATTATTAAATTGTTAAATTAGTAAAAATAATTTGTATTAAATTTTTTTTATAAAAGTAAAATGTGTTAATGTTGTTTTAATAGATTATTAAAATTATATAATATAGTATAAGAAAATTGATAATGCACATTTTTGGTTTAAAATAAGGGATTTGTTCTGAATTGAACTTCCATTAATAATTAATAATTAAAAAAAGAAAATGATATTTCCCTTAAGCTTGGATTTGGAGTTTAATTATTTGGAGAGAGAAATAGAGACAAAGGTGGGTGGAGCTGTTGGTAAATAGACCTACACAACCCCTTATGTATTATATAATCAATATACTAATGTCATATTCATTTATTGCTTATTTTATCAAATAATACCAAATTCTGTCCCTAAACTTTTTCATCACATCTTTTAAATATTAATTCATATCCACCTTTTCATGTAATGCTCTTTCTAATACCCTTTCTACTTACAAGGTTAGTATCGTCATTTTCTTTCCTCGTCAAAAATCTTGCCCTCTTAACCCTAAATTCATTCATTATTTTTCTTTAATTTCGATCCATTTTTAAATATATGTACCGTACATCAGTTGAAAGGTTTCAAACAGAAAACATCGACGAGAGACCAAAAATTCGATTCCGTTTGTGAGTTGACCTTTTTTTTGTTTGTTCAACTCAACCAACCGAAAATAAGGTTATTAAAAATATTTAAAATATTTAACCGATAGTAGTAATTAATGCAACATGTATTATAAATAAATATGAAAACAACATGAAAAGTCAAGTCAACCCAAAAATAGAGCGTTGAGTTGAGTTGAGTTGGGTTAGGTTGGATTGGATTGTGAACTCAATGTAAGTTGCTTGAGTCACTAATCCAACCAACATGGAATTTCGAGTCAGTGCAAACAAATATTCAATCCAACCCAACTTGTGTGCATGCTTGTGAAGGAGGATAAAATATGATAAAATGACATAATGGTGGTTTATAAGAATAGTCTTTACTCTAAAAAATACTTTAAATGTAACACCGAATAGTGCAAGAACCATTAATCGAACTTAGTTCAACCAACATATATATATATATAAATAAATAAATAAATAAATAAATAAATGAAAAAGATTATAAAATTTTAATTTTATCTTCAATGGTCAATTTTATTTTAATCCTAGAAATGGTTGGAACTTCTCAGTAGTTTTATTTTACTTTTACTGATTTTGATATTTTTTTTACTTTCAAATTTGTTTTAAGGACCTTATTGAAATTTGGTAAAATTTAAAGGTATTTTTAAAACAAAATATTAATAATTTTCAACTGATGCATATTTTTTAGACTTTTACAAAAGTCGAAGGTGAGAGATAATTTTAAGGCTTTTAAATATTAATTTAACCTAAATATTAATCTAAACATAAAATGAATCGAGAATGAAAACGAAGATAAAATAGTATTATATAAACTAACATTAAATTTGGACACATTGAAATATTTAAAATAAAATCTTAGGCGGTTAAGTGTAGCAATTCTGGCAATGGACACAATCAACCCAATCCACACATGACACGTGTAAAGATATGATATAATGTAATTGTAATAGGTGACCAAAATGAACACATACACTTACGCTATCGAGTACCGACACTAAAATTTTCATTTT